TCCGCATAATACGAAGAGTGAGATGATTGGAGTTCCGAAAACAGATGGTCTATCGTTATTTCGCCAATAGGCTGAAGCTGCGAAGGGTGTAGTTAAGTTGGGCCAAGCCATGACTATGCGCGAGTGATTGGCATATCAGCGATAAGTAGATGAGCAGAATGTGTTCTCCTACCTGTTCAGACGAAGTTGCGGCTTCGACGTTGCAGACAACACCCGCCTCTGCGCATTTAGAGACCGCATATATGTGCTAGTGGTATCAGGTTACGCAGAACATGTTGCAAAAGCTGCCAAAGCATTGCAAGACCGCATTGATAGCGAAGAACAGTTACGGCGACTACCACTCAAGTTGTTGTCGGCTGGCGCGGTGCAATGGTCAGCTTTGTCCGTCGCTGGACAGGTGGCATTCATACACTCCGGTGTCCTCGAAACATCAGGCGTCCTTGGACTTAGGATGGCATAATCTGTGTTACGACAATAATCCAGGATGCAACACATATGCTGCTGCCGGTCCCTCGGATGATGGGTCTCGCGATCGACTCTTCGGATTCTCCTGGTGGGTCCCACAGTGATAATATGATCGTTCTTGGCGCTGCTCCGAGAAGCTATCGATTTTAGACGATCGACAGGACACACGTAGTGTTGTGACGATATCCTTCGAGCGTTACACGACGCTAGCTGCAGCCCTTGCCTCAACAAGCTTTGCCTTCGCGGCTGATCGCGGGGTGATTTGACACTGGAAAGGCTTTGGAGAACTGTATCCGATGCATTTATGAGTTATGAGATTTGCACTGGGTGGAAAATCTGCCCACCGGACGAGCTGTTGTGTGAACTCCTTTTCCAGCTGGCCGTCTGCCGGGGGTGAGATGTTGAAGGCTGCCAGTATGGTTGCAGCAAAGATGAAGATGGAGTTCTCTGCGAGGAACCGACCGGGGCAGATCCTGATTCATTGCTCAGATGGAATGTCCGTCAACGAATCAAACAATGACGTACCGGCGTCCAAAGCCGAACGCCCATAAAGACGGGTCGACGGTGTCCTCCTTCGGATCCAAGTAGCGCTCAGGTATGAACGCTTCTGGGTCATATCTGGCGTTGGGTGCATACGCGATCGCCCTGGTGAAACACTCTGAGTATCGCGGTCTTCCAACATCGTTCCTAAAGAATAACCTACCAGACATTGGGAATGAAGATAGTACCCTTCGGGATGAAGTATCCGTCGTACACGTCGTCCTCAGCCGAGCGGCGCGGTACGCCTGCGTTGCTCGGTCAGTCCGAGGACCGCGCGAAAGATTGTGGAGAATGAAATCCTTCCTCACCCATGTGTACCGCAGGCTGCCAGCGCATCGCCTCCTTGACTACAGCGTCAACATATGGCAGGCGTTCGCGGTCCTGGATTGTCGGCAGTCGCTCGAATCCAAGTACTCTGTCAATTTCCGCTTGCGCGAACTTCTGCTTCTCAGGGAAGAGTGCCATGGCCATAATCAGCGTCAAGATCGTCGCATAGGTCTAGTATGCGTTGAATTATGAGTCGTTCGGAAAAACAGAGTGCAATTTACCGTCTCAGATCCAGCTGCAATGCTCACAATATGATGAGAACAACATGGCTACAAGTCCACCAAAGAGAATCATGCACCTCCGAACATTGAAGACCCCAGCCATTGCAGCCGCGTCTCGGGCACCGTTTCTCCTTTCGGCGGGTTGGTCATCAAATCGCGCATGAGTGACGGCAGAGCACTTCCTGCTGCCTGCAATTCAATCCGTGAGGATCCACTAGCCAATCGCACCACATCAGCGCTGTACTTACCACCTCGCGCTTGACGTACTCATAAGGCTGCATCTTGTGGGAAAACATGACTTTCTTGCTCTCGCGTGCCTCGCGCTGGAAGGATACCCATGATGGTGCATGCTTGACTAGACGACGTGCGTCAGCATGTATCCAGGCACACGAGCAATGGAATCTACATACGGAATGGCAGAAGATCGCACAAGTAGTTCCCTGGTGCGACAGCTTTGCTTCCAATCTCCAGCGCCCGCTCCCCGAGATTGATACACTATCTCCAATATTAAAACCCATGCTTGAACTGGGAACGACGGGCCCTACCTCTGTCTGTATCTCTCCCGAGGGAATACCATATGTTACAGCGATCACGACCCTCCCTGCACTCCTGGACGGTGGCGACCCGATCCGTCAGCACCTGCCTCCGTGCATCGCACACTGCGCTTCAGACTCACATTCGAACAGACGCGAAGAAGTCATCGGGAGAGTCCAGTAGATCCTTAGCAAGGATTGCTGCGATATCCTCCTGCATACTGCAATACTGCTTGATTGCCGTGGAGCTGAGCGCCATGTGCGCGAGCTTGCGCTGCGCTCTCCATTCCTCACCATACGGGAGGAAGACCACGCTCTGTTGGTCACAACACCGAGCTTAGTCTCAAGGCGCGCTTGTCTTATCCTGGAAGCACTCACCTCATTCAGGCCCAGCAGTTCGCCGCCATAGATTGATATCGGTCGGTGCGAGTTGTTGTTCCCCCGCTTGTCCAGGAGGTCATTCATCGCCTGCAAGGAGTTTAACACCAGAGCGTGGTTTCCGAGACCCTTAAACATAACGAGGTCGCCTGGTCGCAATCAGCTCTGAGCACACAGCAAGACACACTGAATATGCACACCGTATTTCTCTCCGTACCGTGCGAGAGCTCGAGGTGCCTCATATTGTGATATTTCCATGATGCTACCCACCAGCAGCTTCCCGGGCGGGCCTGGTGGCATCGGCAAGCCCTTCGATCGTCGTGCATACCGCCAACGTCTAATCGCAATGAACACGCCTACAAAGACAAGTGCGAGCGTAAGCTCGCGAATGCCGAACGTAAGGAAAACCATCAGTCCGTGATAATGCCGGATGACCTTGAGTAGGGCTTGGAGAGTGGCGAAGAAGTTCGAAGCCGCGTCAACCAGCACGCTTGAGCATTAAGTATCGCTGGACCCCGCCACTGGCGCCATGCTTGCGACAATACGTGCTAACTGATACCCGGACGCAGTGCAACCAGTGGTCCATAGCTCCGAGCCAGGCTAAGTCTACTTGATGTTTCGCGGTGGATATCACCTGGTGGAATGTACCCGTGCCTACGAGCGTGGTAAAGCGGAGACCATGGGGGAATTTGCTTCGCCGCTTTGCACAGGCGCTGAGCTGAAGCCGCGACCACGGAACTTCGGGCGCTCGCGGCCCCGTCCGGAACATTGCAAAGTGCCAACAGCCCCATAGGGCTGCGTAGCGCCATGCTACACGCAGCCCTTGCTGTCCCTTTTCCTCTTCCTCCTGGCAGTGCGTAGGTAAGCTCGCGAGAGTGGGCGCTCCGTGCGGCCTTGAAGGTTGATCAGTACGTGCATTCGAATACTGGTGAGGTAAATCGAGTTCCGAGAAGAGATGGTCGATCGTTGTGTCACTGGTCAGCTCGGGTCGCGGATTCATGCGGAAGTTACGCTAAGGCACGGCTATACATGAGAGACAGACGTATCAGCGGGGTGGGCTGATGAGATAAAAAGTAGATGCTGTCATACCTGCACGTTCAAACAGAGTCGCAACTTCGCTGGGTGCAAACAGAAATCACCCTCTACAGGCTCAGGGTCTGCATATATGCGCTCTAAGTGGGATATGATCACACCCGTTCTCAGTTGCGACATCAAGACACTCGAAACATTCGTGAATGTTGACAGTACAGGGCAGCAGAATGTGCTGAACCGCGGTACGCCAAATACACCTAAGAAGTTGTCGATTTGCACGGTGTAGAATAGTTAGCTTTCTACGCCGTGATATCCATGGCGCTCATAGGCTCCCAGTGCCAGTGAACTGCGGAGCTCAAGTGAGCAGAACAGTGGCGAGCGATGCTGGCGAAGAGATCGACACACTGAGGGATCAGATACATGTCCAGGGGAAAAACAGGAAAATGAGATTGACGGAACCTGCGTTCTACAGACAATCGAAATGCTTTACACTCGCTACACACCACCTGTCGCCACCGGGTACGTGACGCCCGACGCCGACTCCCGGGCTCTTTAGCTGCCCTATGCGTGCCAGACCTTTGCGATAAGCTCAGTAAGACCTGTCGGGACAAGTAGGGTGAGCGATGACATCAGCACCATGAGGTAGACAATAGCGCACCAATGTCCTGGGTGTTGAACTGGTACACGCCGACCAGCACACCGACGGTCGTTGCGCGGAGCGTCCACGTGAGAACGGGTCCGAGGAGAGGGAACTTGCGCGGGTGGAGGTAGTCCACCAGGAGCGCGTCGAACTGCATCTAGTCAGTCACACAGACTCCTCCCCTAGGCAAAGACAGGGCGACATACGCCGATATGGCTGTGCATGACCAAGCTCACGCCGAGGATTCCGTCAAGCATAGCGTAGTTACTCCCGCTGGTGGCAAACGCAGCAACGGTGAGGGGGACGAGTCCCGCAGAGAGGAGGCGCTCAAACGCCCAGTGGTAGGACCCATGAGTCTTGTTCGGCGGCGGGAATGTTGTCGGGTCGTTCACCGTGCCCTTGTACACCGCTGCACACAGCGAGCACGACGAGCACGACGAGCACGACGGCGAACAAGACAGCGGTAAGGCGGGGAACCAATCAGTGCGTCGGGATTACGCCAAGAAAGACGAAGACTCACGACCGCCAGGGACGTAGGCAGTGTCGGCCGCGCCGCGCGCAAAGCGGGGCGCGAGGGCGCGGCGAGCAAAGGTGGCGGCGATGCGCTGGTTGGTGGCGGAGCGGGCGGCGAGGGCGAGGGACATCGTGTTGGTCGTTAGTGACCAGCCCGACCGTCCCTCCCAAAGTCCATTATCCCCCGACGCGCTGCCAGCACGTGATACCACCAAGGCCGACAAACGCCGTGGGTAGCTTTTTTGTTAGTTCAGTGTCAATCAAGACTCCGACATAACGTCTTCAGCGCGCGATAGAGTTATCATATAGCTCCGACCGATCATTACGGCGTCAGATAAGTTGTTTTAAATCTCCGATATGGTGTAGTGGCTAACATTATCGCCTCTCCGATCTCCGGACCGACCGATCGCAACCGCACCGTGTCGTCCTTCCGCATGCGGTGCCGTCCGCCCCCCACGTGATCATTTATCACGTGACCGCGATAGCCCGGGGTTCGATTCCCCGTGTCGGAATAATTTTGTTCTTGGAATCTCAAATCAACCCATTCAGAGTGCAAGTTGAAGCATCTGCTTCTCAAACACTAGCGGCGTGTGTCTGCATCTGTGGTTGCATCTGTGGTATTACACTAGGAATTCAATGACTCGGATGCGAGTGAGAGTTCCAGCCATCTCTGGTTGAACGCATCATATCGGATTGTTCAGGGAATGACATACAGAATGTAGAGAGCGCGAAATTCACTGCAGGGTCTATGTGTGGAGGTGATGTCTTCTCGCTTCATTAAGGCTTGGGATAATGCTGATATGTGCTTCAGCTGAATCCGAGGCGGTGAGTAGCTACAGGGTTATGCAAGATACTTCACAACATACAATTGTCCTCGACCGAGATCGCATGCACGGTCAAGGAGAACGGCGCGAGTATACGCGAGAACGGCGATGGCTGAGCGCTGAGGGCGCATGTGCGACGGCAAAGGCAACTGCAGCCGACGAAGACACAGGACAGCAAGCCTTCGTAGACGGGCTAGAACTATAGTCGTATGCACATCTGACTCGATTAGTGTCAGTAGTGATGATATCCCAGGGTCGCCTGGGTTCCAGCTCATGAGGATGACTCCGGCGAGTTGGTATCTCGGCTACTATGAAATATGCATCACAGTCAACATCACTACTCTGATTTCCTCTCAGAGAAGAGGGTTGTAAGTCAGTCAACACCACGCAGTTACTGTCGCAGTTCCTAGCATGACGAGGGCGACCTGCAGCAAAGAGAGGGAACAATCCGAACCTGACATGCTTGTCGCACTATGGGAGTGCCTGAACCTGACATGCTCGCCACACCTATCGGAATGCTTACCGAGACTCACAGTTCTCTCGGAGAATGCTCTAGTCATCTGACTGACGCCTATTTCCGCGTCACGTCAGCGCTTTGAGTTCCCAATCAGCACAAGTTGGCGAACAATTTCCATTCTGAGCTGCCCTTGGACATCACGCTAGACTTCCTCATCGCACCGCATCAAGATCATGATCGTACAGCTTCGGGTGTCTTAATACAAATAGAAATTGACAAACAATTTCCATTCTGAGCTGCCATCGGAATTCACGCTGGGCTTTCGCGCCACAGGCCCATAGCCCACCGCATCACTATCAAGATCGCAAATTAATTACACCTTTTGCGTCAAGAGTTGGCGGACTATTTCCATTCTGAGCAGACCTCCTGAAGAGGCGAATGTTGTGCAACTATTCCCTTATTGAGGTGTGCCTGGGAATCCGGACGTTCGTCTATACGAATCTAGATTCTAGATCCGTACCGCAAGCAAACGGTGAAGGGGAGCGCTGCCATCACCAGCGAGCCTCTCTGTGCTTACTGCTCTCATACTGCTCTCATACTGCTCTCATACTGCTCACGTCTGTACATAAGGCCTGCTAACTGCAAGAATGGGGCTAACAACAATCCCGTCTACTCCGCAAATATTTCGCTGTGTCCGTCACGAATTTGAACGTCATGGGCACCGCAAAAACCCATAGCAGGGCCACGGATGCCGACCATTCTGCTTCGGATACGGAAGTACCTCTCAGCAGGTCACCTTCGAGGAGACCGACATCGGCCACGGCTGCTCGTGATGTTTGCATATTTCGTATCTGGACTTACGGGCAGTCTGATATCACCCTACCATAGCAACGTCACCGAGATAGCGCTCGTGCAAGCTCGCGGAGACACATAACGAGAAAGCGAAAACTTCTGCATACCTCTGTTTCCAACAAGAACGTAACTTCGGATACCGAAGATGATCTCAACCCCGGAAAGTCCTGGACCCGTCTTATTAATGGGGATACAGCTGGGCAGTCGAGGGAGAGCAAGTTGGTCGCAAAACGGCGGATCACTCATCTGCTGCGTGCAGCGGAGTACGCCTCCACCGCTTCCCCCGAAATGAATGAGCAGATGGAACAGGAGTTGCCCGTGATACACTCACAGGACCATAGTCTGGCAGCCGACTCTCGAGGAGTGTCGTATATCGATGCTCCGGATTTGCACGACTCAGCCATTACGGTCGAATGTCCCGCATCGGCGACAAGTGATGTATATTCGCATCAGCACCAGAATCGTGCCAGCCTTCTCTCAGGATGCTCTCAACGAGGGTCTAGAACTGTGGCAAACGGACAGAGTGCAATGGTAAGTGCCATTTAATCACATCATAACTTCCAGATATCTCAATGACTGCAGGCATCGGGTTCAATACCGTCATACTCTGCGCCTTCTAAACATCAAGGCTCACGTCCTTCGGGTCAATCCAGGCATGTAGCACCTGTACACGAACCTGATGCATCCCATCCCGCTGCCAGTATTGCTGCGTCCTCCTCGTCTCTCGACTTGGAGGGCGGGCAGCTACAGATGGTCATGCGAATTTGCGTGCAGGAGATGCCAACGGAGAAGATTTGCGACCTTATAATAGCGCTCTGTCAACGAATTATCTCTGCCTCGGGTAGTACGTGAGGAATCTTCCTCGCCTCCCAGTGAATTTGATATGCATCGATCTATGTACAGTATATTAGGAAAGTGCTTGAGTTATGGCAACAGTTACTCACTGCTGAACGTCGTCTCATCCAATCTGCTCAAACTGAGGACTTCCGCAGGCGCAGTCAGTGGAGCGAGCATCGATACACTGTCACGATTAATGCAGTTGGCATGGCGTATGCCAATCCGAGAATTCCCGGCGGTAACGTTGAAAGCGGGCGCTTGAACGACTTCCGTCCAGCCTTTCCATGAGACGCCCTTACTACCAACAGATTGATGTACGTTTACCTGTTGCTATTGCTGATATCGAGATCTATTTTCCGGAGTCTTTCGATTGTTCGAATTGGCAGGGGCCCACGTACCGTGAGTCGGGATATTGGAAGTTTCACAAGCTCAATATGATACTTATCGGCGGAAGACGCTTGCTGAATGAACCGCCGAATGAGTGTCTTTGCTATGCCGGCGATGTCAAGCCATTCAGTAGCACACGCATAACTTCTAGCCACATATGCCTATGCCACGAACGGATATGTAGCGAGTTGGGCCGTCCAGGGTTCCCGTGACGGCTCAATCACTCTCAGCGTGTCATTGTGGCCGACGCACGTTCGTCGAAAATGTCCTGATCAGGTAACAATTGCTCTCTTAAACCTCAAACCCAACTGTAGTGACATCTCTGTTCCTGGCATCCCCACTACCACACTACACCAACTGATAATGATGTGCGCATTCCACCTCATCCATTCGAAGACCACAGACTGTTGAAATCAACAGACGCACTTCGACATCCTCACCTCCCATCATGACACCTTATTCGTGCTGCGGAATCATCGGGTCTGTGCAGCTCTGCCCTAGGACTCTGCATTTCATCGCATCATCTAACGCCTCATCAAACAACGCACGGTGGTAGTCCCCTGACGTCTGTCGCAGCTAGAGGCTGTTTGTTCGCGCATAACAATCGCTTGTGCGAACTGTTGAGGAGTGCTTCCCTTCTCTAGGTGACGTCGTCTCTCATAACCAACAGTTAGCCACTTCTTTATGAATAGGTACAGACCTTTGCCGTCGGCGTCGTCACACGAGCATCCTTCCAGCACCAGTCCGACGATGAATCGTCCACCTAGCGCAAATTCAGACCTGTCCTCCAGCATACTCCTGGGCGACCAGGATTCAAACGTCGTATCGTCCAGGAACTGGCTACCGTATGAGGGCAATGAACTCCCAACACTAACGCCCAAGGTGTCTGATAAGCCGAGATCCCCAGATGTCAACACGAAGGATGAGGGAAATTATCTGGGCGCGGAGATGATGGTGGGCTCTACTATCATGAGCCTCTTCAGGTTCTATATCAATATGGGGCACCTTTAGGGCAATGCAGCTTATGCTACAATGAAGCTGACCAGCGGTCAACCCACTAAAGCGGTGGCCGCTCAGGCATGGATCGAATGCGCAGAGAGGATCAAGGAATATGATGAAGAGACTATCAAAGCGTGGAAAGAAGAGATAGACACGCTTCTTGTCTTCGTGAGTGGTTTGTTTCATTTGCGAGGCCTCCTAGGAATGGTTTTGTGAAGTCGTTGGCGTGTTTTGAGGCGTCTTCTGACAATCGCTCACAGGCCGGGCTATTCTCTGCTGTCGTAACAGCATTCAATGTCCAGTTCATTCAACTTCTGCAGCCGGACAGCGCTGGCATGACCGTGATATTACTCATGGATATCTTACAGCAAATGAATGGCACTACAAACGTTACAGTTCCAAATCTGAACCCTCCCCTAGCGCATTCCTCCGTCAACATCAACATCCTGTGGTACTCTAGCCTGATACTCAGCCTGGCGGCGGCCTCCGTTGGCATTCTGGTCAAGCAATGGCTGAATCAATATACCAGTGGGCTGTCAAGCATTTCGCGTAGCGGTGCGCGGATCCGACAATTTCGATACGATGCTCTCTCCAAATGGAGAGTGGTGGACATTTTGACGCTACTGCCTGTGCTCTTGCTCGGAGCACTGGTGTTGTTCCTGGCAGGTCTAATCGAAATCCTCTGGACGGTACAAGAAACTGTCGCCACGGTTGGGACCATCCTCGCGTCGCTCCTCCTCACCTTCACGTTGGTGACCACAGTACTACCCACGTTCGTCGCAGACTGCGCATACCAATCGCCACAAGCCTTTCTTTTCTTTCTCCTGGTCCAAACAGCGAAGCAGCCGCTGAAGGCGCTTGTGAGGTTCCTTCACAGACATATGGGTCACGTAACTCCGGGTGCTGAGGGTTGGATCAAGGACGTACGCAGGTTCACGAGGAGGTGGCTGTTCTCTGCGAGCGAGCGAAACTGGTTCACTTGGAGTGACCGAGAAGATGCTCTTGTCCAAATTAAGGGGCTGGACCTCGACCGACATCTGCTCGCTGCGACGGACATCATCTTCAGAGATTCGACGACACTTGAGGAGATTATTCGACCATGCCTTGCGGACCTGCCCCCGAACGTCGCCATCCCCTGCTTCTACGACATATTCAC